TATTAAAATAGCCGCTACGATTTTATATAAAGTCGTAATTAAGCTCGCTATAAGACTTATACTATTTTATAAAGAGGGTTAATATTAGTACTAAGGTAATATATTTTATTCTTGGTATTAATAAAACGATACTATCTCTAAAAATAAAAAAATAAAAACTTATACTATTAGTTACCTCTAGGAGTATATAATATCCGATTTTTATACCCCGTATAAATAATAGATCCAGTATACTTATAATAATTATAATAGCCGTTCTTATTACTACCCTTATTATATATAAATATACCCTAAAAGAGACTTAACTTCCTTTAGCTAGTTTAAGTTTTTTTTATACTATATTTAAAAATATAATTTAAATCGGATCGTAAATACTTATAATTAAATAATAACCGAGTTTATTAAAAAGTACGAGGAGCTTAAAAAGGTAAATAAATAATATAATAATAATTAAGAAATTAACTAGTTTATAAATATTAAAAAGTTAGTCCGCACGCTTAGTTTTTTTTATAGTATTTTTTATAATTTTATTTACGTCGTTCTAAAAGTACTTCTTATTAAGTTAAGACTATACTCGCTATATATAAGACCTAGGTTAAAAAGAAGCTCTCTAAGCCGATTCCTATTATAAAGTACTTAGGATTATTTTAGGCTACGCTAGGCTAAATTAAAAAAGAAGTTAATAGTGGCGTTATTTTCGCTCCTGCTCTAAATAAGTTTAGTTTTAAATTAATAAATTTAAAATCTAGTAGTCCCTATCCTGGCGTTATTTTTAGCCCTATACTTAATAAGCCTAGTTTTAGGCCTACGTATTTAAAGTTTAGTAAACTTTACTTTAGTACTATTTTTATACTATTCCCTAAGACTAAGGGTAATATACTAGGAGATAGTTATTTAATATCTAATTAAGTTAAGGGTATAGGGCCGTTTAATCTAGCTATCGCTTTAGTTATTTACTACGGACTATAAAGAAAAGAGGCTATTAACTTTTATAGTTAATTATAATATTAATTAGTTTGCGTAAAAAGAAAATATATTTAATATAGTAGTAGTAACCCTTTTAGATTAGCTATAAAAGGGACTAATATTATTATTAGTTTGCGAATAGATAGAACCCTCTAAGCTTCCGTTTATTTATTTATACCTCCTTTTATCTCTATATAAATGAAGGGATAATCGCCCTAAGATATCCCTTATCTAATACTTTAAAGCCACAAAGGTAAAAAGAGTAGCGAACTAACACGCCTATTAAACATATAGGGCAAAAGAAATGACCCCCACCTGATTTGAACAGATAACCTTTCGATCTGGAGTCGAACGCGCTACCGTTGCGCCAGAGGGCCGTGTTGTTTGATTCCGAATCTCGAGCTGGAGAGGCGGAGTTGACGATGCAGCCGGGAAATGGGTCTATGGATCGGAGCGGGGTGCAGTGGCGCCTGCAGAGTTGGAAAACGGAGTCTCTGGAAATGAAAGTGGGTCTTGTTTACTTCGCAAAGGTCAAGTGTGCCACCTTCATGCAGGACAAGAAATGCAGAAACGCACTCTCGGGTAAGACGCTGCGGAACGATTGGCGAGTCAAGACTCTCTGCATGATTCGAGTATTAAGTCCACTTGAGCAGACCTTGGAGCCTCAATCTATAATTACATATGGCAACTTCGACGTTTGGTCCAAACTAAGGTACAATAAATGAGACTTCGCAGGAGGAGACAGCACTGTGCTTTTGGGACTTGACTTTGCTTGTCATCCGAAGCTACCAAGCTAGGTCAAGCAAATCACCAGTAGGCCTATCAAGAGCCTCTTGGTCCAATTCAGGCGAATCAGACCTGGCTTTCAGCCAGCAGGCTTATCGACTTACACCGAAAGTAGTGAAATCTCATCTAGCTGTTGTCGATGCACCCAACTAGTCTCAGCCATTGCCGCTTTCGGTGCAAGTGTCTGTCACTTACTTTTCCAGCACATTTTCTTCTCCTGCCTGAAAGCTTGCCCGAACAGAAAACTACAAGATCTTGAAGCCAGACTGTAGAGCAACTACGAGAGAGGAGTGGTCGGCCTTGGTATCTTCACGTCGGCTGGCGCCTCTTCGAGCGCTTTTTGTCAAATTTTGCAAGATCCTTCGACTCATCCTTTGCATCGACAAGACCAATGAGAACTCACAGGTGCGCAACAAGATTAAGAATCCCACCTTTCTACTAGCGTTCCCAGAGAACCGGATCTCATCCGAGAAGAACTAAGACAGGGGGCTTGCGGGAAGCGCGTTTGCATTTTTGGACCGTGACATGGCATGCATCACTTGAGCCGGATGCGGCCAGCCTCAATGACCTCATTGGACTGACATGGTTGTAAGTCAGCCCTAAGGAAATAGCCTTGTGCTTTAACAGGAACAAGCTTTTAGCCCGTCAAGCCCGCCTGCATCTCTTATCCCAATAGGTGCTCCCGAACACAAGTGATTCAGAAGCGAGACGAGTAGTTGTTTCTACGAGACAAAGTTGTTCCATTTGCGGGGACCGCCTGATCGTACCTTGTCGATGAAGCCGGGGGTGATGCATCGGGACAAGAGGACCATGGCGAGGCGTCTTCAAGTACCTATACTACACTACAGGTAGCTCACTGGCACAGCTGGTAGATAAAGCAAGCTTTGCCTACCTTCTCAAGATAGAGCTCGAGCAGCTTTCGGCTCCTCATATCTAACCTGTGTCCTGATAGCCTAGGAAGCAAAGTACACCATGCCCGTGATAAATCGCCAATCTCTTGGCGGCGTCCTCCTCTTGGCCGGCCTAGCCTCCGCCCAGGGACAAGGAGACGTCGACCCCTTTGCGCCCGTCTACACAAGCTGTCCCTTAGGCTTGGCAGTGCGGTCAGCTTCAGAGGTAACTTGAGGTTTTGCCCCCCATGAACTTTAAGCATAGCTGTTGACTTTCTTCTGTAAGGGACTCTCGCGTTCGGAATCATCTTGGAGGGTAAGCCGCGGCGAAAAGGTCATCCCCGCGCTCAGCTCTTACCTCACGTTGGCGAATATTTCTGGATTCGATGTCCAAGGCTACATTCAGCGTCTCAATACCTCCAACTATCCCGTCGTTGGTCTCTCCGTCTCCGGAGGAGGCACTCAGTCGGGTGTTGGAGGTCTTGGGATATGGCAGGCTTTTGATGCCCGCAACTCGGCTGCCGTTGCTGCTCGCACGGGTGGTTTGACGCAGGTTCTGTCATATATCACTGGTCTAAGTGGTGGAGGTGCCTTGACCGTGAGCACACTGTAAGTTCTGCCGACTGTTCTCTATCTGACTGCGTCTTCCCCTGGCCAACGAATGTAGAGTGCTTACATGTTACGCAGAGCTGCCAACGATTTCATATCCATAAGTGCTCTAAGAAAACAAATCAACTTCACTGTCGATTACACCCTGGGTCCGGACGGCAACATCACCACCTATCTGACAGATATATTTGAAAATGTTGGCGCAAAGGCAGAGACAGGACTTCCTGTCTCCGTCGCCGACGCCTTTGGCCAGTTCTGGGCAACCTATCTCCCAGAAAACCGTACTTATGGCAACTACTCTGATCTTGCCCAATCAGGAACCGTCTTCTCTTCAGGCGAAGCCCCAATGCCCATCATAGCTCTCTCTGAGGTCATCCCCGGACAGTCACCCACAATCGGTGGCATCATGTGGCCTGGAAGGAACAACACCAACGGATTCAATCTGACTTCCTACGAAGTAACGCCCTTTGAGTTCGGAAGTTGGCGAGGCGGAAGAATCCAGGCTTTCATGCCGACAATGTACCTTGGAACCTCCATGTCCAATGGCACGGCCCAGAACAGCAGTGAGTGCGTTCAGGGGTTCGACAAGTTCACCTTCATCCAGGGGTCTACAGCCGACGCTTTTGACGCGTGGTTCATCGACGACTGGTACGATACTCCAATATTTGCCAAGCGAGCGCTCAACACAGGCCCGCCAAACACCTCGGTCATCGTGCCTCCCCCCCAGTTCGAAGACGACGGGCGTGTGATCCTCGTCAACCAGACGGCCGAGTCCTTCAACCAGACATTCAACGAGTCTCTGTGGGCCACCTACCCGAACCCCTTTGAGAACTACAACACCGCCATGCAAGGGATCGACGAGCTCCTCCTCGTTGACGGCAGCCTCGGCGGGGAGACGAACCCCATCCGGCCCCTCATCATCCCCGAGCGCCAGGTCGACCTGGTCATCGTCTACGAGGCCTCCTCAGACGCGCAGTACAACTGGGTCAACGGCACCAACCTCGTCAACACGGCTCAGTCGGCGGCCCAGGGCAACATTCCCTTCCCGCGCATCCCCGACGTCGCGACGCTGGTGACGCAGAACCTGACCAAGCAGCCCACCTTCTTCGGCTGCGACGCCGCCACGTCGCCGCCTACGCCGCTGGTGCTCTACCTGCCCAACTCGCCGTGGTCCGGCTACAGCAACTTTTCCTTCTTCAAGTCCTCCTTCACGGACAACGAGTTCGACCTCACCGTCGACAACGCCTTTAACCTCGCAACCTACGGCAACGGTTCGGTAGATGCAGCGTGGCCCGCCTGTCTCGCCTGCGCGACGATCCGCGGAAGTCTGATCAGGGCTGGTGTCGACCTGCCGGAGCAGTGTCAGGAGTGCTTCCGCCGCCATTGTTGGAACGGACAGGTTGCCAATCGTACCATCACGGCGGACGATCTCGATCCCAAGCTGAGACTCAATTCGAGCCTGTCATTTTCGGAGTGGAATCAGACATACTGGAGCAGTCAGACGACCACGGGTGGTGCTAGCGGCGGAGGAAGTGGCGGGAACAGCGGCACCGGGACCGGAGGCAATGGCGGTGGTGGTGCCTCATTCACACCCTCGGCTTCGGCCACGGCGAGCCCCTCTGGTGCATCGAGTTCGGCCGAACTTGCACGAGTGGCGACTGCCGTGACCGTGGCTTCTCTTGTTGCTCTGATAGCATTGCTATAGGCTAGAATTATGGGGTATCATTTTTTTACAGATAATAAGTCATTTCAAGAACTGAAAAAGACGTTGTGTTTGTGTGGCATTAGCAGCTCAGGGGCAAACGGCCCGTAGTCAGGATGTGTCTGCTCCATTCCAAGTACATCCGCAAAGATGTCTCTTGCTTGTGTGCATAGTAGAGGCATGTTGCTCAGTAGACCCTGGGCAAGATGCATCCAGTCCGTTACTCCAGAGAGCTTCAAGCGAAGAGCCTAGTAGTGGCGTGAGTCATCAAGGTCGTACTTCCAAACAGAGGAAAAGGACTGCGTCCGATATGATCTCACCTCAAGCTGTTCCTTGACATCATTGTCTTCCTCTAAGGGTGCCGTCACTCTCATGACTCTCTGCGTATGGACGACGTATTTGGCAATTTTGTAGATCTTGGAACAGCCGTCCAGCACGTTGTTCAGATCACATCCTTCTTCCTTCAATCCTGCTAGGAATTGGATAAATTGGCCCAAGACCCTGATATTGAGATGGGCCTCTGATCCTGTGGGTTCCTCGAGTGCTGACCATAAGAGGATTAAGCTGGCCATGATGGGATAGCCGAGAAGAACCCTATCAGAAGTGTTAGTGAGCTATATAGAAAATCAAGAATATTTGAAACTGACCATATATTCACATAAGGTTGAGGTGGCATCACCCGTAGAAGATCAATGATTGCCCGAGCCGCCGACGTACACTTGGAGTGTGACTGCTCTATGCTGGGAAAGGCGCCCCTATTCACCCAGTCTGAGTACAGCGAGCATGACGGCTGCACGCTCGTCGCATTCTTAAGTCGCGCCAGGTTGATGTTAGTCTTAATCAGAGTGCTGAAATAGATAAAATGCAACAGGGCGGTGTGCATGTCCAACGCTCCCGTCGTCGACGGGGTAGAAGGGTCCGGCCTCGATTCTTGCGGGAGCGAGCACTTCCACTCTTCCAGCTCACAATTGGACAGTATCATCATCATGTGATGTTCCGTACCTGACTGCAGCTGGAGATTGTGTGGAGAGAACTTTCCATGGAGTGTGACTTGGGTCCTTGAGAGTCGTGCCATGCTATTAAGGAGGCACGGCGAGTGCGAGATGCCATCAAAAACGGTCGCATCCTTATCTGGAAGCTCAACGGTGACATCGTCATGAGCAAAGGGGTGAGATAGACCATACTTTGCCATCATGTCCGTGTTGAGTATATGTGTTGCCCAAAATACCCGCCTACGTCGCGCCGACTCGATGGCATCAAGGTTGGCATAAGTTTCCCTCTTGTGCAACCCGATAATCTGCGCGGTTCGGGCCGCCGCAGAAGCCAGCTGAGCCGTCGTGCGCGCATCGGCCGTCTGCAACGAGAACGTGGCTATAGCCAGCAAGGCCTCGCAGGCCAACACGTTTGTCCCTTGAAGAAGGAGTTCAGGGACGATGGCGTATGCGTTCTTGTAGTATCCCCAACTCAAGCCGCCAAAACGCTCAAAGGAGTCGTTCGCGGTCCTCCACCGCATGGCGGCCCCGAACATGGCATTTGCAATCGCGCGCCTGGCTGAAGTATCACAGTCATTTTGGTCGGCGTGAACCCCGTACTGTTTGTCAGTATGCCCTAAGAATGTCTCTCTCGTCATGGCGGGACAGAAGAGCTGCACTTCCTCCATGACGGTGACCTCCAAATCCAAAATGTAGTCTTGGGGCGGGAAGCGTGCAAATGTGGTTCGGCTGAAAGGCCTCCAGTCTACAGTTGCCTCAATCTGATTTCGAGCATTACGAAGTCCTTCTAGCACGGAAGTCCGCCCGAACAGATCTTTGGGAAGGAAAGGGAGAGCATAGGGTGGCATCCTTTCGCGCCGGCTGGGCCCAGGATCGGCCGGATCACGCTGCTGTTGTTCTACGGCATGACCCTGGATTCTTTGCGCCAGACTTTTTGGTACCTTTATGCGCCGTTCGGCAAGCTGAGAAAGTGTAGTATCGACGAGCCCTTGGGATTGCCCTCTTGGATCCTCCAAAGACAACTGGCCACCGAGAGTGCCAATTTCAGCCACATCGGGCGCCTCGGCACTCAGTCGCTTTTCTCCTGGCTCGGATTCAACTTTGTTCCTGGGTAGAACGTCAGCAATTGTCGACGGAGTGATCCGCATTTGGCACTGACTTCCGCCCCGGGCCTCTCTTCCTGCGCTCAGTGTATACGCAGGGTACGCCTGATCTAGTGCAGAGTCCACAGGCCGGTTCTTGTCCGTCGCAGCGTCTTTTGCGTGATTTGCAGTGGGCACATGCCTATGGATTGTAATTAAGTAAGTTCATATCGATTCCGACTGGATGGTACGGACGCGGAGTTGCTTACACTATAGATCCGCTTCTTGGTGACTTCCTCCGCATTGCTCTCGACGGTACTGGTGGCCTCAGCGACATCGGCCATGTTTGCTAGGTGATTTCTTCACCCTACGGAAGTACTTTGAACAGAGGAAGGAGCTGTTGTTTGATTCCGCTTGAAAGATGGGCAAACATTGTGCTTCATGCGGGAGTTGTCGTGGGTAGTCGGGGGATGTATAAGTGGGCGGATATTATTAAGCTTCCGCCCTTTGTAGTAGTCGGGAGAGATAGCGGATACAACTGCGGATGTTTCTGGCATGATTAGTATCCCCCGCTATAGCCTTTCTCGACTAGCTTACCCCAGCTTTCCGCAAATCAGCGTTCAGAGCGGCCCAAGACTATCATCAAATAGGAGACACAATTACATCCGCCGAGTCGACGGAAGCTCTGGACAAAGGTGCTTCCTCCACAATTACGCCATCTCATCCTTCTTCGATTCTGCACCTTCGATGTCCAAAGTTCCGAGTCATTGCCAAATGGGTTGGCAGAAGCATCGTAAACCCGACCCAGAGTAACAATGGCGGAGTCGTATCGTTATACCGTCGGACTTTCAGTCTAAACCGCACAGACGGAAAGTTGAAGAGCAGAGTATGTTATTGTACGTATAAGAGGACATGAGGGTCGCGACGAACACACAAGCGATCAATACACAACGATAGCAGACGACAACAATCTTTTCAGCACATCATATCTAGAACGCTTATTATATCATCCCCTACAAATCACAAAAATGAGCTCTTTCAAGAACGTTGCTCTCCTTGGCGTAAGTCCACATGCCAGCCTCAGAAGCCAGAGCACCCGAGATACTAAGAGGTCTACAGAAAGGGCTCTTGGGAAGCGCAATCACCACTGAACTTGCCAACGCTGGCTTCAATGTTACAGTATTCGGCCGCGCCGAGTCTGCCTCAGGAGACCTCCCTGCTGGGGTGCACTTCAAGACGATCGACTACTCCACAGTTGACACCATCGCCACGGCCGTCAAGGGGCAGGATGTCATTGTCTCAACCCTTAGCAAGGGCGGCCTCTTTATCCAGAGAACTGTCATTGACGGCGCTATCAAGGCTGGCGTCAAGCGCTACATCCCTTCCGACTGGGGCTCCTTCACCACCGACCCCAAGGCGGCAGCCGAGCTTACCGTCATGATGAAGCCCTTCACCGACACGCAGAACTACCTGAAGGAGAAGGCCGGCGAGATCGAGCACACAATCTTCTCCGTCGGCGGCTTCACCGACCTCATCGTCAAGTTCCCCATCGCCTTTGACTACGCGAACAAGACGGCGGCCGTGACGAACGGGGGCCACGCCCGCTTCGCCAGCACCAGTCTTGCCGGCATCGGCAAGGCGGTCGCGGGCGCTTTGAAGAACCCTGAGGCAACAAAGAACCGCAATCTGAAGATCCAAGAGTTCGAGGTCTCTCAGGCGCAGCTGCTTGCGCTCGCGAAGAAGTACTCGCCGCCCGGCACCGAGTGGAAGGAGACTGAGCTTGACGGTGAAGTTGAGCTGGAAAAGAACCTGAAAGCCGCACAGGAGGACTCCACCAACGAGTTCGCTATGTTGGGTCTAATCAAGGCTGCCCTACTTAGCGGCCGATACAAGTCTTCTTACGACAAGCTCGATAACGAGCTCGTGGGCCTCCCGATTCTGACCGAGAAGGATCTAGAGGCTAAGTTCGCGGCGGTGTACAGTTCCTAGACTGTTTTGCTACTCTACAATCTACACAGTCGGAAATGGATAGTAAGGCTTACTTGTAACAAGGCTATGATAAGTAGAGGATGAACTACATGTGCAACCATTTTTGATAGTTGAGAATAGACTTTGTTCAGGCAGCTGTGGCGTCGTTGTGTGTGCCTAGAGAAATGACGAACAGACATATATGTGACAGCCGTTCCGTTGCGAGGATGCATTTCTTGCGGTGCTAAGCATGAAGAAAACAATTGTGGGTTGGTCTCCTATATGCAATATCTTGCTACGCTTCAAGAAATGTCGAATGAGCGACATCGTCAAGCGAACATGCATAAACGAGCGTTGGAATGCAGTGACTCCAATCGCCTCAACAGAACGAACGATTGACTCGGATAGAATTATACTTTGACGCCTCTAAACCATCACAACTAGTCTGCAAGTCTAGTAATGACAATGGGCCTATCAAACTACTGAAGACGCAAATATAGTATATCAATCACGCCACAATAATTCGTGCAACACCTAGATATTCTAGTCAGCTACAACTTTCCATTTCTACGTCTATCCACCTAGTGCATTTGAAAACTACAGCACCCCGTGGCAAATATTCACATTGAACACGACGTAATGCAACCCTAGAAAGGAGAAAACTCTTAGAGGCTACAGCTTACATTGCCATGGGCGGTGGACCACATTGATAATCCATGCAGTGCAACGACATCTACTCCATCGCGAAAGAAAGATACATCCAGTATACAAACACCAGAGTATCTAAGTGTCACAGATGCGCCCGCATGTACCCCGGGGCCATTATGAGCTAGACCACTACTCCAGCATGAGATGTAAATCGGATGCTGCGGTGACAATCAAAAGCCTGTTCCATCCAAATGTGCAAAACCCCATAGTGGTCTAGATGATAAGGATGAAATGGACCAGGTTTGACATCTGATATCACCCGCTTCCCTCCTCATTGCAGGCGCCCTCATTTCACATCATCACATCCAGGATTGCTTCCAAGCCCGCGCCGTCGATTCTTGGCAATACATCCCCCGGCCAGCGCCAAAGATTATGCAGTGTTCCAACTTCCCGCAGGATGGCGCTCTCTTCAGTGTCCACACTCCACAAGCGCGCGAATCTTGGCAAGGGGGCAGCACCCCTTTCGATCCTGCAGCCAGCCCGGGACGCCCGGCAGACAGGCCCAGCTGGTTGCCGCTGAGCATCGCAACATGAGACCCAGGGGAGGAAGGGCAAGGAGGGAGGGGTTTGTGGTGGGGATGTAGGGATGGTGTGAGAGCACTGGGCAGTCAAAACGGCTTCTTGTAGGGGGGGGGGGTGGTGTTGGCGTGCTAGTACCTTGAAGGATCACGTTGGCTGGAAGCCTGAAATGGTCTCTGAAATCAATCCGCTGGCTGCCGCTGGACAAGGGCCCTCGTCAGCCATGGGATAGCCGAACTGCATGCCCGTTAGAAGGCCAGCATGGGAGAGTGAGGTTATGTTTGGGGAAAGGTGGTTGGGTTCACGGTAGTACCATATCTTAGCCATCTTTGTACTGCCATGCTGAAGCTGCCATTATCAAACATCAAGACATCAGGCCATAATCTTGAGTCAGTTTGAGTTTCGTGATCTCTATACGTTTTCTTATACGCCGGTTTGCCGGGAGAGTTTTCGTATATGCCAGTGTGTCCTTAGCGTTTTTGGACTATGATCTATCTACAGCCCCTAGGTGAATACGATTAATCCCCAGGGCCCATTAGCCACACGAAACGGCTATCGAGACCACGGCAACAACAGATGGGTCCCAGAAGGCTCCGTGTCAGTTGTCGATTTATCGGCCGATCGGACAAGAGCGAGAGGCAGCCGAGAAGCATTTTGGTCCACTGTGACAATGGAGCTGGCCTCGTTGGAATTTGCACAGGGCGGAGCATCTGACCTGTTGATGGGTATTTGGCCAAATACTGGCGGGCAGCCAAATATCTGATCATAGGGAACTATATCTCAGGGTCCTCGTGGGGATCAATCTAAGCATACTATAAGAGAAAGTACGGATACTTTCTCCTTGTTGAACCTGTTGCCGTGGTTCGTGGACGCAGCTTCGCAAGCTCTTCCCACGGGGGTTGCTTCCGTCTCACCCCCTTTTCCCCAGCTCCATCTGCCTAAATTATCGAGAATGAAGCCGATAATTATCGCGTTGATCATAAGATCAAGCCGTCCTGTACGCCAGTGCTCCTCGAAGGAGGTTAAAACAGTCCAACAACCCAATTACGCTTGCAGCATCACCCAGTGCCAAGGAAATCCTACCTAGACGTTCAGCATCAAGTCACGGAGGCGTCCCCCTTTCGGATCGGTCCGCTGACCGATGTTGCTGTTGTCGGCGTCATCGACTTTTCGGCTCCCGCAAGTGCTCCCACTCCGTGCGTAAGTATTGCCCGAAAAGGTTGGACAGATAACCACCATCAACAACTACCCCTTGACCGATGACCGATGACCGTTGGCCGTTGATCGTTGATGAGCTCCAGACATACGCAGCAGGGCAAATGGTTATCATCGGCAGTGCGCCGTTGGCTCCGGGTAAGTGTTCTCACGCACGAGCACGCGAGCAAGTGCGTGTAGTGGTGTACCGTAGTCTCCGGGAAGCCTTTCCTCCTAACCGTTGCGGTGTTGATACCCCCGCCTCGCTTCACCATCTTTCCTCATCCCCCATCTCGCTGATGTCGCCGAGGCGCCGAGGCGACGCCGAGGCAAATGGGGTTTCTTGAAATCCCATCTAGACATGTCCATGCCGGCCGGGGCGTATTGCGAGAATGGGCCAATCAAGCATGGCTGCATCATATCTCCCACATCACGGACAATCGAGCGCCCGTTTCTTTCTTTTCTCTTTCTTCCTTTTTTGCTGGGTATCCAACCGAGGGGGAGGGGAGGGGAGGGGCGGTCGGCCCGCCATTCAATGTCAAGAAAAGGCCTAGAACAAGTTCGAAGCAAGTTTGACAGCCCCCGCTAACGGGCGTTTTGGTGGCACCCCTTTTCTTTCTTGCAGCTCATGGTCGGCGATCCCCCATGCGAGCAAAATTGCAGAAAAGCACGGCGTGGCAGAGGAAGCTCCCCCGGAGCTAAGCTAGTACACAGGTCCCCATTTTAGCGTTTCCGCGGGAAATTTCATGGCCGTTTGGAAAAACATGAGTCGTGTCATTTGGTTGCCATTCTGGGTAATCTCTTCATTAGTCAGGAGGCAAAGAGTTAGGGATCATGATACTAACAAATTTGTAAATGAAAGGGAGCAAAGTGACGCGAACCTATCAAATGGCGGTGGAGTTTTGGGCAGCGAGAATGAGCTTCACTTATTCCGCGGAATTCGGAAACAATTAACATGGTATCCAGCTTTGGGCAGCGACACACCACCACCACGCCCGCCGTGCCCAGACTAAGCCTGGAGAAGCTTAGCCAATGAGTGACGCCCCGGTTGCCATTCTCGGAAGAGCCCCGTAGTTATCCCCGTGCTTCGGGTCCGGTGGATCTCGGGACACGCCAAACGGTAAGCGACAGCCGGATAAGAGGGTGCGGAACAAGCGGGGGACCCACCCGGGGCTCAGTGGTTGATTTTGTTGACGTCGCTCTTTGCCCCTTCCGAGCCAGAATCCCGCCCGACCTGCATCATCGGCCTTGCAGCTTGCAGGAGCATCGCAACTGTTGGGAATGAGTTCTACCCTGCCCTTTCCTCTCGGGACCTGCCACTGCCTGTCATCACATCCCTAATTGAGACGGAGCGGGCAGAATCCCGCTGTGTTTCTGTCTAATCACACTCTGCTCCCGCCTATTCGGGCTACCTTTCCGCATTTCTCCAGGTCCCCTGTATCATCAACAAACCCGTCGCGGCTCACCATTTAGGTGTTTGTCCTATCTTATCAAAGGTGCCGGCACGCGAATTCATCAGTCTGAGTAGGGCTATCCTTACGGCCCAAGAAGAGGAGTAAATGAAATGCGCCGGATCACTCAGCCCTTCCGCAGTCGGGGACCCTCTTCGGCGTGGGGAACCTTCGGATGCAGTCCCGATGTCCAGAGGCACCGGCGCTGGCTCCGTCAACAGTACCCCGTCCCCGCTATCTCTGCTATCACGCTTATCTCATTCTCATCCAACCGTTTTCGGAACGTCCGACGTTATCCCCGACGGCATCAATACCCCTAAGCAAGCAACCACTTCGAAACGAAACATTGCGCAAACCGATTCCCCAAAAAAATGAATGACCGAAAAGAGAAAGAATGCCCAACCCAAATCAGATATCGCGTATTTTTACCGAAATTTCTCCCCGGGCAGAATATGCCCCTTCTTTTTTCTTTACTTTTTCTGCTTACCATTCATGACCCCAGGCAAGTTAACCTTTTGCCAGACTGCTACGATATCGGCCGGTGCGGCTTCCTACTCTACGGATACGTGGGTGCATCCTTCCATCAGCCCTCCCTTTCCTGCGTTCCATGTGCTGTTTTCTCCCTTGGGAAGGATCATCCTTGCTCCGTTTGTGCGTAGCTAGACCTGAATAATTAGATTAACCTTTACCCTTTCCTCTTACCCCAAAAAAGCTCCGACTGACGTGCGATCTACCCAAACTCTCAACCAACTCCAAATCAACTTCACCCCTTCACAACGTCACACCGACTTAACCCCGTGCGTATCGAAAGAGAGGGAGAAAGTCATCACCTCCAGCCGCAACTGAATCCATCCATCACCACCACATTCAGACATCGTAGCGTCACACAGTCATTATCACCAAAATGAAGATCAAAGCACTCAACGTCTACCCCATTAAGGCTCTCCGCCCAATCCACCTTACCGAGGCAACCCTCACCCCGCAAGGCATCCTCCACGACAGGACCTACATGCTGTTCAAAGTCAATCCGGACTCGACCCTCCGCAAGATGCAACTCTCCACCTTCCCCCAATGCGCTCTTCTCTCCCAGGAGATCGTCGGCTCTCCCGACGAGGACGGCGGCGAAGAGATTCTCGTAAAGTACAACGTTCCAACCCCGCCTCTTATCGACCACCACCTCCTCCAGGATACGACGCTTTCGGTGCCTCTCGTCCCGGATACATCGTCTCTGGAACCCATTTCAGTCGACCTTCACGGAAGTCCCGCCGAGGCACTCCGCATGGGGGAGCCATACGACGCCTTCTTCTCCGCTTGCTTCGGCTTCCCCACCATCCTAGTCCACATCGGCTCCGGACGCCGCCGTGTCCTCGGCACCCTCGCCCCAGGGTCATCCTCCAAGCAGCAGCAACAGCAGCAGTCGTCCTCTCTATTCTCGTCCATCACATCGTATCTCCCCTCCCTCTCGTCTCTGTCCAAGTCTGAAGATGATGAACAAGCCTGGCTCACCTTCACCGACTGCGCCCCTTACCTCATCACATCAGATTCCTCCCTAACTTACCCATCCCTGACCTCCTTCCAGAACCCGGATGCCCCATCCACCATCATGCCCAAGATGCGCCCCAACATTGTCGTAGAAGATTCCTCCGAGGCACCCTTCGCCGAGGACTTTTGGGCAGAGCTGTCCCTCCCTGCCTCCTCCAACGCCAAGCTCCTCCTAACGGCCAACTGCGGTCGCTGCACCTCTCTTAACGTCGATTACGCCCTCGGCCGCGCAGCCCCCGGACCCGAGGGGAAGCTCCTCAACACACTGATGAAGGACCGCCGCGTCGACCCGGGTCACAAATACGCACCCGTCTTTGGCCGGTACGCCTTCCTCGAGGTCCCTTCCGTGGGAGACGGGTCCCTGGCCGGGGATGGAACTGTCCAAATCCGCGTGGGCGACCAAGTCGTCGTCACCCGGCGCAACGCCGAGAGGACAGTCTTTGACTGGGACATACCGGCTCCCGCCGCAAAGAAGACCGTTGCCGTTGCATAAAGGGTCCATATCCGCAGATCAGATTTCCTGATGTTCGTGGTTGCAGCCCACTTCCCATCCGCATCATTCTCCCCTCCCCACTTGGGCAGCCATCTTTTTGGTTTCCCACTTTTCCTGCTCTAGACTAGAATAGGTAACTTTCTTCACAAGACGGCCATAACACATGTCATTTCTCACGATTCCCACATGTCCAATAGGGGGAAGAGAAGGAAAAGAAAAAATACCGCGGAAAATGTGTAGCATTCTAGATGGAGTCAAGTCGTTGGCCGCACCGTTGGCCGCACCACGAACCAAACCGGGCACACGAGGGAGGAAGGGGGGGGGGGGGACTATCACATGTGAGGTTGTCGCTACATCCGGCATCATACCAGGTGGACGGGCGGGGGCAAGAGGCGAGAAGCAGAAGCAGAAAGTAAAGAAGAAGAAAAAGGGCAGAATGCCGTGTTACCTATCTGAACCCCTCGCGCACCACGTCTTTTCCTGGCATAGACCCACCTTTTCATCCCGAACCTCCCTCTGCATCGTGAGAATATCCGTGTCATCATCTCCTGATCTCACAAAAATGATAACGCAACTAGAAAACACCGCAGCTCCCCCATTGCTTAGAGAGCCCTTTTTTGAGGATCGAGATGAGGATCGAGATAAGGGCCTCACCGCCCTTAACACATGCACAATAGGCCTTCAAGTCAAAGCACAATTTCCCCCCTAGGCCTTGCCGATAGATACCTCATCTACGGAGTAGGTATCTATCTGTCCTTCCCTCTCTCTCATGGGCTGGAGTTGCCAATGACACCATCCCAACCCCAAGTTTCATATGCCCGTTACCTTTGTGTAACCCGAGAAGAAGCGCCACTCACTCACCCTTTTCGGCGTTCAGTACCATAGGTGATTGGGGAGAAGAAATAAAGCGGGGAAAACACACAAATTTATACCCACCAGGGTGCTTGCTCCGTCTTCTGATACCCCAGATGCCCAGATCAAATTGATTAATAAACCACAAAAAGGGGAAGACGATGTGTGTGTGTGGGAATAGCGGTGCATCTCGCTGGAACTGGCACCCAGCGGATAAACATAACGATACTAAAAAAAAACATCGAGAGATTCGGCGAGGCTTCCCGCGAACCTCCCCCCCCCTCTAGAACAAGAGCAAACTTTCCTAATTCCTTACTGTCTACCTATCCCATGCCCTGCCGGCCGGCAAGGCGGGCAACAACGGCCCAGCCAGCCAGCCAGCCAGCCAGCCCCGCGCGTAACCTGGCCCCCTTGTTCCCCGGTCCTCCCGTTTGATAATGTGTGCCGCGCGGGCGCCGGCGCGATGGGAATTCCTCGACCGTTCAAGAAAGTACATAACATTGGAAGGGCAGACAGAAAAATGAGGGGGGGGGGGGGAGGGGGGAGGGGCTGGCGGGAAAGGGTTAAAGCTTGAGGAGGGGGACAGCTAAGATAATTCCCCCGATCTTCGCAGCGATTGTGTGTGTGTGTGTGTGTGTGTGATGTGCAGGTAAGGTATCTATCCGCACCCATCCCCATGCCGGTCGAAACTCACTCGAGTCGATCATTTCATGGTCCTTTTTCTGCCCGCTCTCCTGGGTACATGTTTGAGTTGGGTATCTACCGCATATCTGCCCAGCCCATGAGCTCTCAAAGTTCATCACCATCTCGTCATACCTTCCATTGCCGCATCTTATTTGCATCTCGGCTTGAGAGAAAAAGCCTGGCGCATCACTACTGGGAACATCAGGTTTATGGAAAAGCAAAAAAAAAAAAAAAAGGGCATAAACAACAATAGCAATCTTCACCGAGAACGATCGACACATCTAGTCTCGCGAACCCGTCCATTCCGCACCAGAGCCTCATTTACCTTTCTTACTACACCATCATACGTCGTCACAAAAAAGCGCCTACTTACATGTTCCTCGACCAATCATCATCACAAGCCACCCATCACAATAACTCGCCCAATCCCATCACACACGCCCCGTCGTCGAATTCGTCGGTGTAAATCAGCCAAGGTTACTCCGTGGTCTAGTCTGGTCTAGTCCACCTTAGTCTGAACGACGACCACCACTCTTACTCTCACTCTGCCTTGTCACGCAACTGTAGCACTACTCGTCTTGTAAAGTTTTCCTGGTGCACATTTGATCCCGACTGCCTAGTTACACCGAAAAGGATTTTCCCACCGCAAGCCTTCGCGTAAACCTTCGCCTGTTGCGAAATTCAAGACAATGATAACGAGAAGAGACGAGGGGGAAATGAGGGCCGTTCTTGAAAGACCAACAAAAACGACACGACAGACTTCACCGAGACACACTTCGGAGAAATATGTAATGCGGGCAATTGGCCGGCCCTTTCCTGTCAAATGCAGTCGTACAAGTCGTCAGTGCCAGTGTCATACCATGCCATGTGTGCCTGTACGCATGTATGTATGTATGTATGTATGTATGTATATCAATGCCATGCCGAGGTCGTGCCATGCTCTACCCGAATAACATCATCTTGTACAACCACGAAAAAGAAATTCCCCGGATCTACACTTTGTGTAACGTAAACACAAAAAGAAGTACAGCCTTGATTCCCAGACTTGGATAAAACTACATCTCCGAATCGTGACGCACAAATGTCTCTTCACCGACTTCTTCCCGTTGAAGAAAGATCAAGGAAATTCGAGTCGAGACGAGGCGGCATGGTTACACACGCATCGCGCCATATGGTTCTTCACCGGTGACCGGCATCCTCGGGCCATGGGTGACACCGAGTGAGCGCTTCATCGGCATCCGAACGACGTACGTCCCTTTCGAACCAAAAAAGGTATCCCGCCCACATACCGAAAGGTGTCCAACGTCCCCCCAGACTCACAGAGTCACAGGTGACATGACATGGCAGATTCTGAATGACACAAGGGCGGGCGCAGCAACCATGGTATGATGGCTAGACATACATTAGGGTTTTGGTTCTTTTATATTAGTGCTTGGCACCTTCTTGGTCTTTCCTGCATCATGGCACACGTAGAAGTTCCATGATTGTTCAGACCCGGACAAGCGCTACCTATAGATTCGCTTGACCAACCGGACGCGATACCGTTCTGACCTGGCAGCATCATAGTCATACGCGAAACCGAAGCGCAAGGGGTTCGATGTGGTGCAGAGACTCCTTGAACAATACTCAGCATGATAACTGACCAAAAGGCAAGAGCGTAGCGTGAGGAAATAGAAGTATTCTGCGTCAGGAGGTAAAAAGAAAGAAAACTCGAAATTGACAAATAACCGCCGTTCCAGTCCATCAGCCTTGCGTGCTGTTGTGACGTGATCTAAGCCCATATTTTTTCTTCTGTTTGCCATGCTCCGTGAACCATTCCCAAAAGACCCGAAATCTATTGTTAGAGAAAGAAACCGTTCCTTCTCGCTAGTACCACTACCAACATTTGTCGTGCTCCCTCGCTCGCCCCCTCGCCTTACTTGCTCCTGCCCCGCCAACTTTGGCGTTTTGCCCAAAGGAAGAGAGAAAAGGAAATAACCAGGTCGTTGTTTGCCGTAGAAAAGGGGTATTGGGCATTGCGCGGCCGAAAAACTCCGTTACGTATTGATCAAAAGCGTGAAATGAAATGGAGACGGGCGATGGGCGCGTCTTCTTGCGGTCGAATCAAGGAGCTAACCGGCCGGAGCGTCGGCGAGCGAACGAGCTGTGGATGGATGATTCCTCCCTGCCGATTTAGGCTCAGTGCCTGATGGTTCCAGATTGTGACCGGGAAAGGTGCCGTCGCATCATTCCCGTCTTCAGCCAGGTACGGAAACTCGAGGGCATCATCGCACAGGGGCTCAGCTGTTGACACAGGCGCTAGGGCGTGACCCCCCTGTGGACGGGATACGCTCCCCGCCGGGACCGTTAAGCTGCAGCCAGCTGCAGAGGTGCCTGAGCCAGAGGGTCCCACGTGCGCCATGCAGCACCGAAATTCGGCACCACTGAGCTAAACCAGAGTTAAGACCGAGGACCCTGCCGCGACGGCAGGGGGGGCGGACCTGGTCCTGTCTGGGTGGTGTAATCGGCGTGCCTTCAAAACGTCCGGGGACGGTTGCAAACAGAATGATTGAAAAAACTCAAAAATCGAAAACGGAAAGAGTTGCATGGCTTTTTTCGTGTCGACGGCCGCCGCCAAAAGTGAAGGAATCAAAGGGGGAGAACCCCGCGAAGAGGTATCCGATGTTGTCCGATCCGAAAAAATCCTGACTGTCATCGATCGCCAGGGCATTTCTCAAGCTCATGCGCGTGGTATTGCGTGTTTGGTGGTGCATCGCTGTCGGGATGAACCAATATAGTCCTGCAGCGTCTGAAGGTCTCAAAAGGGGGCCCTAGGCTTGTGTTAGTAGGTGACATCCATCAATTGCAAGATGACACAGTTTGCAACTGCCGTGCCGCATTGTCCACCGACGGGTATTTCCATCTGGAAACCTCGTAGGTAATGAAACAAGAGAGGGCAATGAGATCGGGGATCGGATAGGGCGAGACATTTGTGTCTGGGTGGTGACGGAAGGGAGTTTGCGTCATCAGAAGCAACTAACATGTAGCTGGATTTCGAACGAGGTGACTTGCTCGAGGTGAGCAGCAGTGTGTCTTTGTGAACATACCTCGAGTGCATCCAATGCCAAACCCCCACGTTGCCGGCATGCCTCCATCTTGCGTCCCCTCACGGTGAGCACCATCTTTCCCGCAGTCGGTCGTCTGGGGTGCTCAGTAACGGCGCCGACAAACGCTGCACCTCAGGCGCTTTGAGTGCAGGGCCGGCAGGTGTGTAGCTTGCAATACCGGCACTCAAAGATACTCCAGTGGGGTCCAGAATGGCATAGGTTGCAGGTCCATTGGATCAAAGTGCTGTCCGACTTGATCATTTTGAACGAGTGGGCGCAGGGGCCCGCGACGGCCATCTTGAATCGAAAGCAGCTGGAAGGCCTGGGAAGCTTAGGGTCTTAAAGGTTGTGTCTGGAAGGACCCGGACGTGCTGGAAGCGCTGTGCGTCGTGCGCGCGATGTCCTGAACCGCGTGGTTTTTGGTGCCGGCGCTGCTGTCGGAGTAGTTGGTTGGCCCTGAAGATCGAAAGTAACGTTCGCTAAAAGCTTTCGATTTTGGCCCTCTGGGAGAGAAGCCTAACGGTTCGGTGGCAGAACGACGGTCAGTACGGTCAAGCTTTTCCTGGTCTTTTCTTCTTCTTCTCTCTTGGATCTGTGAAACTGTATTAGCAATGGAATAGACTAATTTATGATCATTATTTCGGTAGGTGATGCCGCCGTCTTAAACATGATGTGAAGGCTTGCAGGCGGGTAGTTGGAACTCACATGAGAGAGAGAGGCCAAACGTTGATGTGATGTTGACGAGCAAGGGGGTGGGTGTTAAATCAAAGTGTCTGAGTTGAAGAACTGAGTCAACTCGGAGTGTTTGGAGAGGATGCTAAACGAAGCGGGTGGAGTGTGGGAAGGGAGAAAGAAAGAAGTCGGAACCATTAAGGATTCAAGAGGAATCCAAGAACACAGGAGGATGTGGTTCTTGTTTAAGAAAAAGGTGAAAGAAGGTTTGCCGGTCGGTGGTGGGTGCTATTGATGGCATGGATGTGATGGGTAAGGATGAGGGCGCGAATGAAGGAAGTGCGGGTGCAAGTGCAAGTGCAACTACCGCGAGGCAAGTGCAGTTGCAAAGTGAATCTCAAGATGAGCGAGGTATCCGTGTCCGTAAGGTCAGGTATTAAGTTAGGCCGCCCAAGGTAGAAAGAACTTCCAGGGAAGGTGAGGCCGGGTGAGGGCGAGGGCGAGTGTGAGGGTTAGAATGATGTGCCCCACGCCAAAGTGTCAAGGAAGGTACGGGATGGTCCGAGGGTTTTGGGCAGGAAAGAACGGCAGCAGGGAAGGGGCCATATAATGTCAAGGAATGTCGAGTAAGGAAGTCGCGCCGACATGGTCAGGAAAAAGGAGGAAGAAATGAAGCATATGCGCTTGCACGAGAGAAGTGGGAAATAGAGGATAGGAAAAAAATTAACAAACTTTAGGAGCTTCCAAAAACCGAGGCAATCAAGCTGCCTTTGGTCAAGGTGAGGTAGGTAGGTCGGTAGGTACCTTGGGTTGAGTACAAAGGTGAGATGGCTTAGTATTGTATGGCAAGGTACCTTGTGGTAGGTAGGTGCTGCTCGGTACGGCAGAGAAAGGCCAGTGCCGGATGTGATGATGTATGTGTGCTTTGACAGCAAAGCTTGGTGGTTTCTTCTTCTCACAAATAGCCAATGCAAGCCAGGCAAAGTCAGCAATGGCAATGGACGCCCAAGGCAATTGCCGTTGGCTAATGCTGTGTGACTGGTCGAGCAGCGAAATGAGGGAAAAAGGTCGACTGAGATGAAGGTGAAGTGAGATGACTAGCAAGCGGGTGTGAGGTGTAATGACGATAAAAAATAAATAAAAATAAAGATAAAAGTGCTGCTGAGAGCCAATGCAGTAAGTAGCTTGAGCTTGAGCTTGGGGTGTAGGCACGGAGTAATAGAGCCCTTTGGTTTTTTTTCTGCTCTCGATCGACTTCCGGCCAGTGGTCCTCAAGCAACCCTTATATGGATGGACCATGGTCCCACGGACGGAAAATCGTCTGATTGCAATGCAACAGAGGGCTAGGTACTCCGTATTCCTCGACAATCGCAGCTTGTATAAACTCTAAGCATTGGTATTACCGCATGTCCCGTTCTTCGGCAGAATTCTGAGGTGCTGTTTGTTGCTGACCGTCCCTGTCCGCCCGGACCCAGCCCGTCCCAAGGTTCACAGCGGGAGCGTCGGATTGGACATTGGATTGCCCTGTCCCCGTTTCCACTCCTGGTCCGTGTTGTCGTCTGTCCGTGCCGGTATTATAGAGGATGCACAACACGGTACTGGTAGGGCTGCCAGACTTTTGGCTGGCTCTGGCCGGTGCCTCTGGAAAGTCTAGTTGACATTGCCGTGATTCTGTGACGGGAAAAGGACGTAACGAATCCCGGCGGCGGGAAGCTAAGCATATACTCCGTACCAGTCGTAAGGTAGTAAACTCTTTCTTTTTCGAATTAGAGCCCGATCATAATCCAGTATGACAGCAGTAAGGGACTAATAAGGTACGAACACAGCTCTGGAAGCATACCTAGTCCATGAGTCCCGGTTTCCGATGCTCACGCAGCCACTGACGGGATATGCCTTGCAGTTCAGACTTTAGAGGCGCCTGCGCTAGGTCGGAGAAGCTCGACTTGTGGTGCCCTGCACGGTACCACAAGGTACCGCTGTCATTCCTCCCCAATTGTACCTTACCATAGCATGGATCTGGAATAGGTTGAACTTTCAGAGTGAGCTGAGCTATGTACCGCAGTAGCCGGACGTGGCATCGTTACAGCACCGAGACAGACTCATCACATCTATGGTGCCCTCTCTGTCCTTGACAGGTACCTACCTGCCAACGGTTAACCGACCCAACGATGCCGCTTTCTCGGCCCTACCGCTTTTCCCATCTCGTTTGTTCGAGCCGGGAGCACGACGTCTTTACATGGATGCCATGTCAAAACGTCTCCCGTCATCATGGCCCGGCCCGTTTCTGTTCGTCTGCACTTGGGGCCTGATGATAGACCAAGGTACTTCTTCAGTACTTTGCCCGAGAAAGACAAGACGGGCGCTACCCACCCATGGTCGCATGTCATGTCTTGTATCGCCTAAAGCTAAGGTAGAAAAAGGGCTTCCGCATTCCTAGTTGCCCATCTGCCATGCGTGCCATGCCCCTTGGGTACGCAGTGAGGTCTTGTCCGTAATGACGACAAACCATAATGATGCTTGCTAGTGCAACAGACGGTCGAATGCCGTCGCCCCTTCTTGCATACCTTGCCGTGTCTCGCCACCGTTAATGGCCAACGGCCATCGTGCGGAGCGGCAGCAAGGGATTTGACAGACAGGACCCATCAAAATGATACCTTTTGGTTGTGACTTGATCATGATGTATGGGCCGTTCCTTCGCGTTGCACAATGCCTCGTGGCACATCACTACCGCTTCCACGGGAGTATTTTGTCTCTTCCGCTTTTTTCCCCATTCGCGACAAGGATAGTTGTATTGTTGTCGACCACGCTGGCTGATCTTGAGTCGTCTCGTGGGAATCCGAGCTAGAGGTCGTCATATTGCCTGGCTGTGCTCCTTTCGTCTTGGTTGCAATCAAATCTGATCCGAGCAAAACCGCCGCGTACTTCTTTTACCACGCCCGGCACCCAGGTTTTCGGACTGTTCCATTCAAAGTAATTGATCTGGTTC